TCCTTCCTTCCATCTTTTTTCCCTTCCCACCCTCCCTCCCTTCCTTCCTTCTCCTCACCTGAGCACATTTTTTTTTATTTGGTTTTAGAAACAGAGGAAGGGAAAGAGAAAAAAATGCTGGTTGCCTTCCATATACCCTAATGGGGAATTGTATGTTCTTGAACTGGGGATCTAACTTGCCACTTCTCAGTTATGGGACAATTCTCCAGTCAACTGAGCCACGCGAGCCAGGGCACTACTTCTTTTATATTACGATTATAAAACAATTCTTTACTGTATTGTATCTTGGTATTCTAATGCATGGGCCTTCAGCAGCTTTCAATACAGTAATATGGAACAATAAGGTAAAAATAAAGCATACAAGAATGTTTCTCAATATTTTAATTAAAAATATACTTTATAATGAATGGTAATGTTCAGTATGTAGTGATTAAGTCATAAACGAATACCTCTAAATATGTAGTTTGCTTAATGTAGTTTTAAATCAGGCCAAGTGTAAGTTACACAGATGATTTTATTCAAAATAATCTTTTTATATATCATTTCCCTACATCCTTGTCAATAAAAAAGCAGTGACTGCAGAATAAATGATTCATTAGGCACTTATAACTTCTTGTCTCATGCAATTTATCTATATAATTTTAAATTACTACAGACTCTCAATGATCTTTTCTCATTAAAGTATTTCAAAATTATTCATATTTTATTAAGTTTCAAGGACAACCCCTCAAACATATCCTCTTATACCCTCACACTTGAAATTAAGTAACCATTTAAATTGCTGTCATGATTCATATATTCATAAGGGGCAAAAACTGATGCTAAATTAGAAAGTTCTATTTGGCAAACCATTTATCTATTTTTATCTGTTATCCAACAACTGGTGATTATAAGAAATCAAAGCTATTTTAACTACTTGAACAATGGAGAACCACTTTTGAGTTTTCATTGTTTAGTCTCTTTTTAAATGAAGTGCTCTCCTTATGCTATACTGTATATTTAAAATAGCACGAGTGTTCTTAAAGTTGTTATAGTAATTTCTTGCATTATTCCCAAAATGAAAACTTGATTTAGCCAAATATTAAATTACTGAAATTACAAATCTGTTAATCTATAGCACATTTTACTCATTTGTGTAATTTTAAAATTCACTTTCATTTGATTGACTGTTTTAATCTTTCTTAAGCACTGAGCAACTGGAAATAAATTGTGTATTACTAATACTGTAAATATGAAGAATAGGAAGTACTTAGGGACTGCAGGGAATACATTAAAACCAGTCGGCTTTCTAGTTAATATATTCTCATTCTGTCTGTGTACAAACCCACGCATTGAGAAGACAGATCCATAGATTCATGGCCTCACAAAACCATTGTCCTGATTTTGTGTTTTGACAGCAGGAATTGGCCCAAACCTCTAACCATTTCTTCTGAAGGACCCTGGCTGACTGGTGCCATCCATGTGCAGCACAATCTGATCGAGGGGAGCATTGTTTCAGTGTAGTGGATTATTTCTGGAGAGACTGAAATTGGCTGCCTGGGATCATAGCATCATCAATCTCATTGTACAAAGGATGGCGAAGCTGCCTGTAAGAGGCTGTGATAGGGGCCAGCCACTCCTAAGAAGGTGAGGAGGCAGCTGGAAAGCCTTCACTCCCCCTCCATCAGGACTCTGAGTGAAAGATTTGTCATCTTCACATTTTCTGGGTACTTGGCATGCACATGGTGTCTGCTTGCTCCTGGTCTGTGAAAGAGGCGATTTTTCAAGCTTAGGCAAATGTGGTGAAGCTCGGGGTCTGCTAGTGTCTCATTTTTCCTCATCATGTCACTTGTTTTAACTTATTTGAGAAAATGAGATTATTTTTCCCTTTTGCTCATTTAGCTAGCTATTATTTATTTATTTGCTCATTTAGAGGTGGATTGTCACAGAGAACTGGCCCTGGTTTCTCTCTTGTTTTCATACACATTTCATTAGTGTCCCCTGAATATTGAAGACCCACAAAAGGGAAACATCCCATCTCTCATCCAAAAAAAAAAAGCACAGATTTACTCTTAAAATCAAAATAGAAAACTGCATTAAAGAATATTGTATTTCTGACTGAAGTAATCTAGAATATTACTATATCCAAGATCTATTACTTTAATCTTTCCAGCTATTCTTGAAAACCCAAGAAGTTGAATAAGCATATTACATGAATTAGACTATCAGTTTCATATCACTTTAACTTTTCTGTATCTAGAAAGGAGTAGTTATATTTTCTTCATTTTATCAATGAATCTTAAATACGTCCCAAATGTATAAATACTTGGGGTTGAAACTGGTTTTGGTGCTAATTTCATGGGGTATTGGAAGTACAGATTGACATAACAAGATGCACTGGTAATAATAAGCAATTTCTAAGGAAAGAAAACAAATTCTGAGTTTAATTTCAGTCAGAACCTAATGATATGTTTCTGAGTTTCGAGTTATAAAATTTTGATTATAAGCCCCATAAAGACATGAGTTTACTTATTACAAGTAGAATAGCCATAACCTCTCACCAAAAAACTAATATATTGACTGATTAATAGAGATAATTTATGTGAAAGCTCATTGCAAACTATACTGTTTTTCATGCACAGAGTATAAAATAAGACACCATTGGATTTGATGATATATTCTAGCCAGGCATCATACAGTTAAAAAACAGCAAGAGTAAAAACAAAGTTTTTGTCTTATGTGGATGGACTATTAGCTGCACAGCTAATGTCTGTTTTTACTCTGTTAAGTGAGCTGATGTCAATAATTCTGATATTTATGAAGAGCTTTACAGTTTACAAAGCACTTTCAACATTAATCCATTTTTACTCTACAACATCCCTGAAGGGGAAATTGAGCTCAGAGTAGAAAAGCGACTTGCCTAAGGTCTGTTACTAATGTTACCTGACAGAGATGATGGCCAGTCCTGAGCTTTGCCATCATCACTTGGCGCTGCTCACCAGTTCTGCGGGGACCACCTTTCAGAACACGTTTGCACTTCAAATGAGTTCACTTATTGACATAAAAGTTTTCACAAGTTATGCCAAGAGACTCCCAATTCCTTGGAAAGGCTACTTGGCACAATTATTCTCTGCACTGAGAGACCGTAAGGTATATCCTCTTTGGGAAGTAGGCTGTAGAGGTGAAATCAGACTGACCTGACTTCCAATGGCAGTTATTCACTGTGTAGTCTCACACAAATCACGGACACCTTCAGAACTTCAGTTTCCAAGGCAAAAGGAGACAGGTTGGGGGTGGGGGGTGTTTGGGAGAGATTACACCTAAAGGATCAAGCCAAACAATGGGAATTGACTTGAGCATATCTAAAACACTATAGTTTTTGTTACGTCCTCTTATTGTTAAGAATTACAATGAATGCAGATTGCCCGCGTTATTTGCGTGGCTCTGTAACGAGTCAAAGACATTTTTGCAGGAACAGATTGGTGATTGACTGGTGGGAGGTAACATGGGAGTTTCCAGACCCAAGTTTGCTGTTCCTCCCACCTTAGCACTAAAGCCTAGACCCCTGGAGGTGTCCACTCCGAGCTCAGGAGACACAGGCCAGAATTGCCAGCGCACCCAGCAACAGAGCGCTTTCCAGGCCCACCTGCAGGGGCACCAGCGCCCACTCGCCTTCCCTCCCCGATCTAGGGCATGAGGAGTGAGGCTGGCTGGGGCCCAGAGGCAGCCTCTGGCTTCAGCCCAGTCTCGGGCCTCCCCCAACACTCATCCCACTATGACTCGGCTCCAGCACCCGGCCGGCAGGCGGGAGTTCCCCCGGCCTGCACCCGCCCTCTTTTTATCCTGCGGAGCCTCAAAGCAGATCCCTGGGAGGCTGCAGGCAGCGCTCCAGCAGGTGTTGCTGGAGGACTGTGGACGAACCTAGGGTGCCTGGGCCAGCTGCAGAGCTTGGGAAAGGCAGAGGCTTGTACTCCGGACAGCGTAAGCAACCCGAGGAAGCCTGGCGGAAGCGAGGAAGCCAGGAAGGGATTTGGAGAGGGGGTGGAAGGCTGGGAGCACTTGAGCACAGAGAATCGGGAGCTTGGGTGAGCAACTGGTCCCCAGAGCTCAGACCTGGCGAGGGCGGGGCGGGGGGGGTATGGCGGGGCGAAACTGGAGGATGGAGTAAATAGATGCAAATGATAAAGCTAAACAGAAAATGGAATGAAATCTTTCCGAGAACCTGCGTTGGTAACAAGCGAACTGGTGGACTGGTGAGGCAAAAGAGGAGAGAAAAATCCAGAGTTAAGAGCGAGGCCATGAAATGGCAAAGAAGTATATACTTTGAACAGAAAGAACAAGAAAGCAAAATGCTTCCAGAACGCAAAATTCAATATAGGGAGGGAAAATATATATATATATATATATATATATATATATCAGAGTAAAGAGAACTTATCCCTGAAACTGGTGAGAGCAAAGCCACGGAACATAACTGGAAGAACAGAAAGTGAAGAAAGGGAGAAAAGAAAGAAGACAAATTAATACCATACAAGAAATAGTAAGTTGCTTTTTGATTTCTTTTTCATTGACAAATTACCTCCAAATTCAATTTTGGCACTAACATTTCTACAAAATCCTTAGCCACATACACCCTGAGATTATAGATATTAACTAGATAAAAATGCATCGCATGAATACACACACATTATTTTACCAGTTGCAAAGATCATATTTTGCTTCCTTAAAAAATCCTTAAGTCTTGAATATTATCCCACCTTTTACAGAATATTTCACTTTTGGCCAAAACATCCAAAAACAAACAACTCTTACATTTTAGTTGTGTATGGGGAGAGAGACTCTTAGAGAAAACCCAAGTCATTTTAGTAACCCTTTTTTCCCCAAAGCGTCCAGCCAACAATATATCTTGGAATTCAGAGGCAAGCTGCCCAGACTATAGCACTTTCTGTCACTTGCAGTCAACCATCTGTTAAGGAGAGAGTGGTGAGACTGGAGGCTGCAGTGGAACCAGCCCGGCTTACCTGGTCTGTGCAGGTGGTGTTGCTGAAAAGTATGCTGAAGGGCTCCATGGCAGAGCAGCATTGCACAAGCACTTATCCACAAATACAGGACCCAGGACATCGCAGAGACCATTGCTATTCTCTAAAGAGAACATTAGACAGGAAAGATTAGCCCCAGCTTCAAGCCTAAGCTCAGTCAGTTCTACTTGATGACAGAAAGGGGATCTCAGACATCATGTCCCTTTGCTAATAGAAACAGTGACCCAGCAGAGGTCATGTCATGAAGTGGGGTTGAGGAAAACACTCTCCAGAAGACGACGATTTCGTTTTTGAAAACCCTTGGAGTTTGTTGCAGAAGCAAACTCCAAGGACTGCCAAAATAAGAAAAGTTAGTCTATCATTTAGGCAGTTTAAAACATAGTATCCTAACTAAACATCCTGTTTTAAGCAATAATCTTTAAGTTATAGTTATTCCAGGCATGAAAAGCTACTTACTCTGTTCATTCTGACTTCATTGCAAGTCTGACATAAGCCTGAAAAGAAAGAGTGGATTCTTTTTTTTTTAATTCTACAGTCATGAATTTTTAATCACTATGCTATCTTCTAAACTAAGTAATCATTTCTCAGAGGCATGTTGTAATCTCCTGATAGAATCAGTCTTTCTGGCTGGGCTTAAAATCAGAAGGAATTGTCTTCAGCCAGAATGAGTTTCAAATGCAAAATTTATGGTTCTGTCGTAGAGCAAGCCATAATTTACAATATTGCTTTGCCTCCTAAGAGCCCATTGTGGCATTTGTTGTATAGTGCTGATGAATATGCATATGCAGGTGGTATATATATTTATGGATGAACATACACCTTTTCACAGGCACTGAAACTTTGACAGTCTTATCTGCAACTGTAAGGATCTTAGAGCTACAAAGGCTCAGCTGCACTATATATTGTCCAATTTCTCAAACAGCACCTTATGCTGCATTTCATATCGCCAAATTGATCAACTTGAAACATCACCCTTACTCAGCCAGTGATATGGAAGCATTTTCTATACAAGAATCCAGTAAACTATATGCTTTTCTCTTAGACAGGAAGAGCAGTGGAACCAAGGTTGTCTCTTTTTTTTTCCACTGTCAAATGCACTCGAATTATTTCAGCTATACACTTAAAATATGCTAGTGACCTCCCATTGTGGTTTCTTTATTCATAGAAATGGTACTCTTTCAAAAACTGTAATGTTCAGAAAGCAAAAATATATTTATATGTGTGTGTGTGTGCAAACAGGCATGATGCAAGATAACTTATGGGTTTTAGGAGAGAGAAGTTGTCTTTGAGGGTTTTAGGACCATAACAAACAAATGGTGACAACCATAATTAAGTGCAAAGTAGGAAACATTATTTTCAACAGCATGGTACTTTTCATGCCCCAGTGTGATTCACATGGACCATTCACTTTATAATTAGTTTCGCTGCATACTGTTTACTTTTGTGTACAACAGATTTAGCTTCATTGTCTTCAGGACTATCAATGTAGCATAGGTGCATTCTGTTTAGTAGATAAATAGCAACTCCCCTCCTGTGAATCCTGAATGATTGCATTTTGGGGCCTTTCAAAATACCTTGAAAATTACAGAAAGACAAAAGAGAGGTGACTGTGGCATGCACTGATTGCTTATGAATTTCAGTTAAAATGCATTAGGAGTTAATCTAAACTTGAAAAAAACATACCACAATCAAAACTTAACGGTTTTCAGTAACTGCTTTCTTTTGCTTATTTTATCACCCATGTGATCTTAGCACTCAAAAAGATCCCTGTGACTTGACCTTTGCAGGATTTCACTTTTTTTTCATTTAACTTTTTTTAATTCTCAGCATTACTTCCAAGGTTCCTGCATATTGCTCCCATTGCTCTCTCTCTTACCAAGAGGTTGTATCTATGTTACTAAGTGTTTCCCCCCAAATAATGCATCCAGCCTTACATAGTTCTCTACAGATGACTGAATAGGTTACCAATCTGCTTTCTGTATCTTAAATCCTTAAAAAAGGCTTCTTACCTGAAAAATCCAGCCAAGAGCAGAGTACTCTATTAGTGTTCATTGGATAGCTCTAACACTTTCTAAAATCCATCTGTGACACAATTCAAGATTTTTTAAAAGAGAGCTTCCCAATAATCTTCTTTATCAGGATTAAAAAATATGTTTTCCTCTTCCGATGCTATTTCCACAATAAAAGAGACATTGGGTTCATTCAGACTGTATTGTCAAAAAAGGAGCCAAGGTTTGAGGGGTGGAAACCTTGTCATTTTCACCTTTAAATCATCCCCTGGCATTGCCTCTGCCTGACGAGACCTTTGAAGTGATGATGAGATAATGTGCAGTTTCCTGATGAGAATCAGTTTAGAGTTAATGATGGACCATCCCCTCTCCAGTGCATTCAGGGCAGCGTAAGGCAGCAAAATGTAGGAGCTGGGCTGCTATACGGTGCTGTAAGTAGCAGTAGTCTGTTTCAATACATCCCTTCCTTCTCCGTAAAGTATCACATGTCTTAAAGTGACATTACCCTTATTACAGCTACAGTGAATTGTAGTACCTGCCCACTAACTCTTCCAGAACTCAAGCAGCCTGATAATACTCATATGCCAAAAGAGTAAAGAGGGAAGGAGAAACAGAAGAAAAAACGTCCTGCAAAATATTGTTAGTGTTAATGGGCATTAGACTTCTAACAGTAAATGGGAAAGTGAAATATGAGCCATTTTTAACCTCTTAATGTTCTTATAACCAATAAGTTAACCAAAAATGTTGTTAGGTTTATATAAATTTAGGTCTCTCAATTGTTTTGGCAGCTAAATCTGGGAATAGCTATATCTGAAATACAATATACATGTTTATATGCATAAGCCCAATAAAAACCTGAGGTTTTTTTAAAAAACATTTTTAAATAAATAGAAATGTCATTTTTAGCATTGAAACTGGGTTTTGACAAAGAAATATGCTAAAAGGATCTTTAAAATTTTTCCTCTTCCTCAAGTAACATGCTGGGATAGGGAGAGGAAACACTCAGAACTTCAATATTTTTTTCTAGTACTATGGTTTTGTTACAGAACAGGAGTCCAAGGGGGCAATATTTGGCCCACCTAGGGATGCCAAAAATTGCTACAGAACAACATGGGCTCCTCCCAAGGATGATATACTAATACCTACTGGGCTTATCTGTCCGCCTCCAATTAGAAAAACACCTCTCAATGCCAGAGACTTGTGAAAAGGAGAGGAAAGGTTTATTCAAAGCTATACAGACTTAAAGCAGTGACCCGATGTACCCACAAAAATATCAAAGTACTTTAGGATAACCACAGACACCCACAGCACTTCCTTTCCCCCCTGCCCTAATTCAGGGTACCGTATCTCAGGAAAAGAAGCACAGGTCTGCGTTTCAGGTTGCTGCCATCATCCGGGGTGGGTCACTGTCCAGGCAGGATCTCTAATTACTCCAAAGTCATGTGGCACCTTCTCATGGTCCACTGGCAAAGACTTCTTTCACTCTTCTTCCAGGCAAAGTCTTTCCTGCTTCCCTGGCCATGTGGCCAAAGGGAGCATTCCAAAGCTACGTGGGCCTCTTCTACCAAAGCTGCAGAGGTCAGAACTCCACCAAAAGTGTGTGGCTTTCTTCTTCACCTGGCTGCAGGGGTCCCCACTCTGGCAAAGCCCGTGGTTCTCTTTCACCTGGGCAAGAGGGTGTTCTTACTCTGTTAGAACTGCATGGCTCTCCCTTCACCTGGGCAAGAGGGCATCTGCACTCCACCAAAACCGTGTGGCTCTTCCACCAATGGCTGCCATGACCGCATTTAAATCCCTGCACCAGTCCTCCTTTGCAGTCCCACTTCCGACTCCTCCTACAATCAGTTACACCTGCCAGAACTCCCATATCCTCCCAGCTTTACTGGGTTGCCATTCTGAGACTAGGCAGGTGAGGCCCCATGGCATGGAGCCAATCAACTCCAAGCTCTCATGCAGCTGCTGTAACTCTGGACCAGCCCCCAGTTATATCCTGGGTAGAAGTCACTTCCTTATCCCTGGCTCAAAGCATGGCCACAGCTATATAACATATCTATGAAACCAGTTAAAGGTTATAGATACAGTAAATGACCATTCCAGAAGTTAGCTGCAAAACTGTTGCTATGCAAAACAGCTCTCGATGGCCCTGCTCCGTTTGTCCCTTACCCCTGGGGGGGGGGTGAAGACATCTTACTATCTCCCGGACACCCTGAGTTCTGGACCCCATTCCAAATCCTTTTTTAGGGCCTCCCTCCTGACTGCACCCTGTTACAGTTTGAACACTTTCTTCTTTGGAAATGTAGTGTGTTTGAATTGTACCTAAATATCAACAATGCATATAAGGTGACCTAACTGTCACATAGATACTGCACTAGCAATAATTATTGAAATACTCATTCAGTTTTTTCATGAATCACTTACAAAGCACCTACTATGCATTAGATGCAAAGGGACAAGGCAGAGAACAAGATGGATGTGATCTCCATGGTCATAGATTATACTGTCTAGTCTTTGATATTATTTTCAAAATCAAGTTAGTTCTTATAATTTTCCTTCCTCAAAAAACTTTTGAAATGCTTCAGAATACTCTCTTGCTTTTTGCAGGCATTATAAAGAAGGTCTGATGCCGCAGTGCATCTTGGGGAGCCATTCTCTTCCTCATGTTACACAGAAGGAGCGAGTGACGGACCCTTCAGACTCATCAGTCTTTTCCACTGATCATTCACATTGCACAATGCACACATAATAGCTCTTTGTAACCTAACGACTGTTTAGTAAAACGTACCAATAAACATATTTCAAGATAACAGTAAATACTAATCTTACAGTTGAAAATAAGCTAGAAACACCAGAATTCTAGTTGGTATTGCATGTTTCATTTCTTTGGTCCATCATTGTTGTATTTATGAATATATGTAGAAAGTTGACACAGACTATACAACATCAAAATAATAATAATAGAAGTAGCAGCTACTAATGTTTATTAAGCCTTCCCCATGTGCTGGTACTGCTCTACAGTGTGTTTCTTATAAGGTAACTAAATCCTTTTTACTAATCCAATTATCAACCCTATCTACTAACCCCAGGTACATATTATTACTTCCATTTCATGAATGGTGAACCTGAGGTAGGACAGGGAGATTAAGAAATTTGCTCAAGGTAATATACCTAGTGAAAATATAGCAGGTTTCAAACCCCATTGATCTGGATTAAAAACCCATCTCTCCCTGTCTCTATCTCTTTCTTTCTCTCTCTCTCTCTGATTTTTTTAGAGAGAGGGAAAGGGAAAGAGAAAGAGAGAAACATCAATATAAGAGAAAAATATTAATTGGATGCCTTCTGTACATGCCCCTAGTATGGTCTGAACCTGCAACCCAGACATGCACCCTGATCAGAAATCGAACCAGTAACCTTTTCATCTGAGGGTGGATTCACAACCCACTTTGCTATACTGGCCAGGGCAGGAGCCCATCTCTTAAATATTGGGATAAAACAATTAATGGAAAAAACAAACCCCCAAAATTAACCATTACATTTTCTTATATTTTTAACATTAAAACAGTCTTAAAAAACTGTTCACTAATTTAAGAGACAAATGTTGAGTCCATTCCAGGCATTTGGAAAATAGAAGTGTGGAGACTGGTCTTTGACCTATGATTGTTTTTGGTTTTGTTTTTGCTATGCTAATGCATTGAAGTGAGAAGAAAGTTTATATTTGCCAATAAAGACAATCATTTTGAAAATCTAACTATTATTTTCTTCATTTCTTGGTAATTAGTTAAGGCTCGAAATTGTTACTTATCTAGAATTCAACTCAATTTAACAATCTTGAAACATGTTCTATGCATTATGTTCAAGGCACTCAGGAATTGTTAAAATTTAAAAAAAAGACTGGAAGAAAGACTTGCCCTTTAGGGTTATGTGTTTTTGTGTATGTATGTATATAATAAAACAAGAATATCAACAGTTACATTTTTTCTATTAAATATCTTGTAGCTGATTGTATTGCAGCTAATTATCATTTGTCCTAATAATGCATATTGATATTTAAGGCAATTTAGCCCATTCTTCAAACTGAAAGTGAAACTACTTTCATACCTTTCAAAGAAGTTTGGGCCTTTCTACCTTCTGGTAACTGTAGAATTGCACTTCTTGATCACACTGTGGTTGGGTGGGCCATCAACCAGTGAGGTGTCAGCAGAACTGATGGTACTGCCTTCTGTCTGGAGCAACATTCTCCACATCTCTTTTGCCTTTGGAACAGGGATAAGCTGCATTCTCAGCCTGGCTTGGTAAATGCAAAGAGCGGAGTCCCCCATATCCTGTACTAACCCAAAATGGAAGTACAAAATAAATGAGAAATAGTTTGTTTTTAAGCAATTGAGACTTGGGGGCTATTTGTTATTACAGCATAACCAAGTCGATTCTGACTAATGAAGAGTTTAACCTGTATTATTCATATATTAAACAAATTCTTATACTCAATCCACTATTCTAAGAACTGAAAAGATTTAACATTATGTACATCACACCAAGTTTCTACCTTCTCACAGCCTTCTGCAATAGAAATCCATTGGAGATTTTTGATCAGAGCAGTGAGAAATCCAAAGCATTGATATTGCACCTGGAATACCGTAGGGTCCTTATAAGCCAGGAGTTATAAGCTGATCACTTATGTTGGCCATGATCTGCTCTCCTCAGCCATTTTGTTATATAACACAATATGTCAAAAGGCAAACGACCAAAGCACCATTATTTTAGCCCACCCAGTTTCATGAGTTTGAAATACCCTATGCAGGTGGGTGTTCCAATCAGGCCAAACCCCTAAAGGTATACCTTTTAAATAGAATATCTGTATAAATGTTCATTTGTGTAGGTAAAAAAACAAAACAAAACACAAAATCCTAATAACCAGAACCTACATTTATTCATAAGAAATGCCCAGTGAAAATAATAGGGGTGAAAGCTGAGACAATCATCATACTTAAATAACCAAGTATATTCAGCAAGGTACCCTGCATAATAAAAGGCAGAAAAATAAAGAATGGGGGATAGAGTATGTAA